AAAAAAAAAGAAATAATACCAGAAATCAACAATATCAGATTAAAGTTTCATTTTTAAGAGGCTGCCTAAAGAGTCGGGGATTTGGCTCAGTGGTTCCGCCACCTGCCTTGCAAGTGTGAGGGCCAGAGTTCAATCCCTGGTACCAAAAAACCCCAAAAAACAAAGAAAGAAAGAAGCTGCCTAAGAACTTTCTGAAATGGTTGTACTGTTTTAAAGTTTCATCGTATTATGTTGTGTTTGCTTAACTTTGAAGTTGGATAAAATAGACTTAAACTATAAACAGGCTTAAAAGAAAATTTACTTACTCAAATAAAGATGTGGATATTAGTGCCACATAAGTAGTACTGTATAGGTAATTCTCAACTTATCCCAATATTTTAGTCTTTGGGGATAATGTTAATTATCTATCAAGTGTTGTGGTTTTGGGCATAATTATCTGGAAACATTTTGGAAAGAATGAAGCACTATACAAGGTTAGGATGGTAATACTGTGTTTATAATTGTTAATCTACATTGTAAGACCATATAATTTTGGCTATGTAATAGGTATGTGATGCAGGGCTAATTTAGGTAATTTTTAATCATAGACATTGATAACTACTTAGTATATTTGTATTAAATTTATCCTTATAGTCAACAGTGTACTCTTAGAATACAGAGTTATTGTAATTAAGTGTGATAGTTATTTGCTATCTACTTACTTATACCCTATTCTTATTCCAAACAAGTATGTAAAGTGATTTAAACATTAATTTATCAAGAAAAATAAGGCATAAGTATTTCCTATTTTGTCCACAGAGTGTCACTGTTGGATTACTTGAAAATCAGAAGCCATGTAACATTTGGTTCTTTGTTCATGGTTAAGAATATTTTCTTTTAAAGTAGTAACAGTGCTAATAATTACTGAAAAGCTAGTCTTTTTATTCTGAAGTACAGAAAGGGTTAAATTAGAAACGGTATCTTAATTGCATTTGGGTAATGAGAACACAGTTCTATAAGAACATCTTTTCATGTTTTTGCAATATTTGTAATGGGAAGAGCTTCTCTGATATAACAAGCCTTTGGTGCTTCTTGAACTTTTCTTCCAGTTCTTTATATTTATTTTTGATTTGTTAATCTTCCTTAGGTAAGAACATGAATACAATATCTGTTTGAGAAGGTGAAAATGTCATTAATGACTGCACCTTAGACTTTGAAGATTTACATAAGTTGCTAAATATGTTCATACTTATCAAGAAAGTGATTTGGATTCCTTTTAAGCCTTCATATCCTGTGCACACTCATACTCAAAGAAATATTTCTGTCTCCTGAACGTACATACTTCTTTTCATTAAATAGTAGACTCTTAACCATTTTTTTCCTTCTTTCCTTATTTAATAGAAGTTCACAGCACTTTTTAAAATGATGCTAAGGGTTAAACCCAGGGCCTTATACATACTGGGCAAGTGTTCTTTCACTGAGCTATATCTCTAGCCCAATTCAAAGTTTTTCTGAGCCTTATTTCATTGGCTTTCTCATTTTGAAATAATTTGAGATTTTGGGGAAGAATTATAAAAATATTAGAGTTCTCATGTATATACTTCATATAGATTCCCTTAGTGTTAATTTAACTGTATAACTCAAAAATGTTGTACTTGTACAGTAATCTAAACTAGGACATTAACCTTGGTACAGTACTACTTGGCAAATTACAGTCCTTGTTTGAATTTTGCCATTCTCCCCGTATTGAATTGAGTTGTGTCTCCTCAGCCTCTTCCAATCTATCACAGCTCCTCATTCTTTCTTTGTTTTTCATGACCCTGGCACTTTTGATGAGCACTAGTTTGTTATTTTGTTAAAATATCTCTCAGTTTTGGTGTGTGTGATACTTGCTCTTAAATAAATTGAGATTATGTGTTTTTGATAAGAATTCCACACGAATGCTGTTATTTTCTCATTGAATCGCACTAGGTGGTGGTACATGTATCTGTTACCTTTCTATTGGTAATGCTAATGCTGATCACTTGATTAACATTGTGTCTTCTAAATTTTTCTACTGGAGAGTTATTGCTTTCCCCTAAGTGATAGATATCTTGAGTGGAGGGGTACTTTGAGACTCTGCTAATAACCTGTTTCTCTTCAATTCACTGAGTTGAGTTAGCATCTGTCCATGGGGTTTTAACTGAAGCAGTTGTTACTATATTCGCCTGATAGTGACTCTAATTCCATCATTCATCCTATATTTATTAGCTCAGATTTACTTGTTAGGAAGTGCTGTTATTTATTTTCTGCTTATTCCATCATATGCATTAATATGGACTCGTGAACATTTACTGTATTATGTTAATTATAATCCAATATTTCCATTTATTTTATTAAGCTAATTTTTCATCATTAGCCATTGGGTGTTCCTTCCAGTTTGTTGCTGTGGCCTTTTATTTGGTGCTCCCACCCTTTTTTGAACATTTTCTTATTTTCTAACATCAAATGTTCTAGGTGCATCTGAAATTTCTCTGCCCTGGCCCTGGAAATCAATTGCTTTTTGAAAGAATCCTCATTTCTTTTTTTAAACTTGAGAATGTTATTTAAAAACCAAGATGTGGACATTTGGTATGTTGATTGCTATTTTTGTGTCATTAATCCTTGGCAATCTCAGAGGGCAGAAAGAAATCTGTGTCCAAATCCATTCAAGCACATAAACATGTATTTTTATATTGGGCTTTATTCATATTAAAAACTGTGTTCATACCAATATTCAGTAGCTTTCCTTAGACTTAGATTCTTATATAATAACTTCTTTCCTTAACCCTTTGTTAATCAGTGCTTTTTTTATTCTCACACGAATGTGGGTTTTGTTATTACTTTATTTTTATATTACTAGATACCTGAAATTTATTGGCATGTAAGTGAAAAATACAAACAATTAAAATAGATAACTGTTTAAAGTTTTTTGTACTTAAATAGGCTCCTAGTGATGTTAAGCATTGACCACTTGTTTTTGTAAAATTCATAGGGAAAAGATGTGATTGAAGAATTCTATGAAGCATATCACCGAAACCAAATTAGAGCATTTCAACATTGTTTCCAGGTATCAATGTTCTGTTTGTCAAATGTAAATTTCTGAAATACTGAACTAAATTTTTTATTACATTTAGTGTCATTAAACTATTAATAGAAAATTTGTGTCAAATTCTGTATGATTATCATGCCACTGTAATATACTTTAAAAAAATTTCTACTTGGAACAGTATCCCCAGGTGAATATTTGGAAATAAAGTATGGCTTTTGTAGCTTTAAAAAAAGCTCATAATCTAGATTGTTTAACATTTGATTTTTTCCAGTGTAATATTTTATAAAAAGTGGCCGCCTTAGATGAAATTTAGCATGTGCCTAAATGCAGATAAAGGTATCTCAACTGAAAATAGTAGCCCATCAGAGTTTTGTAAAGAGTATATTTAATGTAGTTTTGAGGGAATTTTATAAGAATAAGCATGTTAGTAGAGATTGATAGAAGTACACAATTATGAAGGGTTTTGTGAGCTACATACTCCAAAAGTAATGCAAGTTTATAAAAATGTGTTTTTTAACCTCTAAATTTTCTTGACTAGAATGAGCTGGCATACTTTGAAGAGAAGTCTGTGTCTTTCTCATCCTTTCTAGTGAGGACAAAAGTAGGATGCTTACTGGGACTATTCATGCCTCAAGGGGAAGAAATGCAGAGGTGGCTGGAGCAGCAGGAAGAGGGGCTGGGGTCTGAGCACAACCGTTCAGGCCCCTTATCATCAAACAGTTGTACAAGCTGGGGTGGGATGTAACATCTTGGATGAGAAGTGACCAGGTTCCCAAGCCATAGCCCAAAGTGAACCATAAGGCTGCTCTCCATTTCTTCCAGTGTGCTGGCTAGTTCTTCCTCCCTTTGCTACCTTACCATTTTAGACTTCATGGTGTACCATGTGATGTGGCTCTTCACCTTCCTCTTTTTTCCTAGCCTCCTTCATGCCTAGCATCCTGTGCTGAGCTATCCTCTGCCCTGCAGCCCTTCCAGTCATTCCCCACCACATTAGCTGCCAAGGCTCACTCTGGTCTTTTTCCTTGCTGGAGACTGGAAGACCTAGGACCGTTGTCCTTCTGAGTTCCGATTCCTGCTCCCACCATCACCAAACCTGCCTAGCAGTCTTTCTAGTCCTTTCCAATCAGGGGCTTTGGAATAGATCCTCTGTTTCCGCAGGCTGGCACCTCTGCTGATTTCTGTATCTTCCCTCTTCCCTGTGCTCAGCGAGCTCTGTGTCTGGCATCCCCCTTTGTCTCAAGCCCACCTTATCGCTTCTTCCCCTTAGCAGGATATTCTCCCACAATTTTACATCACCACTTCTTTTGGCCTCTCATGCCCTTTAGCTGCTGCTGTCACTCTCCCATTCCTAATGATTCAGTTCCATGGACATCATTGATACTCACCATCTAATCATCTGGCTTCCTGCTTTCTCTCTGTGGTTGGGAATATACTGTTCCTTCTGCCCTATATGCCCTCATTTTCATCTGGTGAATGCCTTCTCTCCTTTCACTTTCTACCCAAAGATCGTCTTCTCTGAGGACTCCTCCCTGACTACCAGTCATAGCTGAGTTCAGTCCTGCTCTTCTGGGTATATACGCTCAGCCTCCTGTGTTTACCTGTGTCATGGTGCTAATGCAATGATGATGATGATGATGATGATGATGAACTGAGCACTGTTGGGCCAGTCATGTGGAGTGTTATTATTGTTAGTATTAACATAAGGCTATAGTAAGGTTCTGTCACCTAAGAGATATTTTAATCCCAGTTTTGTACATGAGGAAATTGAAGCAAAGGGAAATCAAGCAACTTGCCCTAGGTCATACTGCTAATAAGTGGCAGAACTCTAGTTCTGAAGTCATCCAAATAGGCCCTGAGCTGTTTGCCTCAGCCATGCAGGCCCACAGTTCTCCCACTGGAGTACACATCAGAAACACCTTAGAGTCTTGTTGAAACCCAACCTGCTGCCTCTACTCAGGTCTCCATTCATTAGGGAAGAGGTGGAACTGCAATGTTGCTGTCTGTCAATCTTGCAGGTGATGGCACCAGTCCATGGACCACACTTTGAGAGTCGTTATCCCAGGCTATTAGTCACTTGTTCTGTTGAAATCATCTCTTCTCTCTTTCTCTTTTTTTTCTCTCTCTCTGTCTTGTGTGTGCCCCCCCCCCGTAAAGATGGGCATTCCTCTAGGATGGGATTTTTTTTTTTACATTTTTTCTTTTTTATTGAATTTATTGGTACAATCTAGGTATACAATACAGTTACATTCATTATTGGGATCCTGTACCTTTACATAATAGGTCTTGATTCTCATTTTTTCCCCTTGTCTCTGCCCTCCCTTCACCCTCTCCTCCCCTGCCATTTACAAACACTTTATTTCCATTTTTTCAATTTCTATTTTTTTTCCTCTCCCTTACTACCTTTCCCTCACCCTTCCCACTTTTCCTACACCTTTAGCCCTTTACTTCCTATTTTACATTATTAATTATCTCATTAGGATCCTGTGTACTATTATGGTTTTTCACACCAGAGAAACTATTTGGTATTTCATTTAAAGAAATCTCTGTATGAACATTAAAAATAGGGAATCCTAAAATAAAACTAAAAA